CCAAGCCCATCAATCCACTGGTGCAGCTTTTCACCCTCAGAAGAGGCTGGCCTTCAGAGCACTGCATTCTGGGTACTGCCTTTCTTGGTACTTCCTTTCATAAATTGCCCTTGCGTGCACTGTCAGTGGTGAGATCACAGGATGGGTGAGGAGCATCTCGAAAGGGGAGAAGGCCCTCCAGTTGCCTCAGAGGGATGCCACCTTATTTGTGAAGAGCCTTCCCACCATAGGTCCCTTCCCTCCAGCCCACTGGCCCCATCAGGGCAAAGATCCAGAAGCATGTGAAATCCGCTCCTGAGAGCAGCATGTTGCACTGTCCCGGGAGACAGGGTCGCAGCCCCTGTTCCCAGACAGAGGTGGGTTCAAGGCAGAAAACAGGTGGGGATTGCAAACCCGCTGTGTTCAGGGGGGTCTGGATCAGGGAGTTTGAGCTATCCCAGAGATAGGGTCCAGATCCAGACCCAGCTCAGCACAGAGACCAGCCCTTCAGTTTGGGGGTGCTAGGCTGTGGCTTGGGTCCAGGCCCACCTGCGTTCGTACATGGTCACGGCTGGAGCCTGCTTAAGCTCAGGAGGAGCTAGTGTGATCTGCAGCTCCACATCACTGAGGCAAAGGCCTGCTCCTTTGCTCATCAGTCCTTGCCCTCTGCTGAGATAGTCACCAAGGGTGCCATGCCGGAGCTGGGTTTGGATGCACGCACCAGTTCACTAGCAGCTGAACCCTGGTCTCCATTCACAGAGGCCCCCGAGCAGCAATCGGCTCCCACCAGCCCAGCTCAGATGTGTAGCACCGACTATCCCACTGCGAGTCCCCGGAGCCCGCCAGCCCCAGGGAATTTCCTCCCTGATTACACATGCCAAGTGCCTTGCACACAGCTTCTGTGCTGGCATATTGCCCTCAGGCTGGCTGTCACTCCCGGCTCTTCCTCTGTTGTTCGGGGGGCACAGCAGCAGGACTCTGACAGCGCGGCAGCACCCGCTCGTGCCAGAGATGCCCTGCAGCCCTGGCTCGTGTGACTTCCCTGACTCTGACACCCTGGCTGCAAGCTGTGACACGCCCGGAGCAGTGACAGGTGCTCGGCAGGACTGTGTTCCCTTGCGGTGCCCGCTCCACTCGCTGGGGCCAGGAGTAGCTGTGCGGTCAGTCACAAGGACATGCTATTGATAGACCCCTGGCTGAGCTCACGGGCACCCTCGTGTGGGGCACGGGTGGGCCAGAGAGCGGGGAGGCCCTGCCATGGCTGGTTGCGGGGGTGACCACACCACAAGCTGGGAGGTATGTAAGTGATTTCTCCATCCTGATACACACACGCCACGACCAGCAAAGGGGAATTACGCTGCCGTGGGTGTTCTAGCAGGAGTCTGCTCCCACTGAAATCAAGGGGCCGTTGGCGTCAGCGGCAGCAGGCTCTCCCACTGAAGCCGACAGAAGCTCAGCACGTCTCAGGATTGGGCCCAAACGCAGGGCATGTCATTAGAATGTGTCAGGGGTTCGGAAACCCAGAGGACAGCCCCGCTGCCAGCAGCTGGGAGTCACACACAGACCCAGCCAGCCAGCGCACTCTCCGTGCGCTCCGAGAGCCTCGTTCCAGCCCCATTCTAAGGGGACTGAGCGCTGCTGGCCGAGCCAGCCGGCCATGCCTGCCTAGAGAGAAGTTGTGCCAACGGGAGCTGTGCCACGGATCTCAGCGGGGCGGGATTTCATTCTGCAGGGCTCAGTCTGCGCTACACGCTGCGGGGAACATTTCCCACCCCTGCAGCTGACCCTGGCAGGAGCACTGGTGTAGATCAGCGGCTGGCTGGTTGGAACCGCTGCGTTAGCTAACCCTGCTCAGGCCTAGACAACACAGCGCGGCCAGCAGTGGCCTGTTTCCACTAGCCACTTCCATTTTGGCTGTCACTGACATGGCCACAGCAGCGGCAGCAAGATTCTAAGGAGCTTAGCTAGGCAAGGCCCATGCTGTAGCACCATCGGTGTCAACTGGAGCAGCCTCAACTTACCCCAGCTGCAGATCGGGCCCATTCCCTTCAGTGGTGTCACACAGGCCTGACTTTCACGTACACAGCTCAGGCGCTGGGCTTAAATTGGGAGAGCTCGGCACCGAGAGCTGTGGAGAGGGACCATAGTGCAAATGAGAACAAGGCATGGTTCTTCAGTAAGGCACCAGCGACTCAGGCCCTGTGCCCAGCTGACTCCTGGCAGTAGGGTTTGAAGGAATGCGCTGAAAGTGAAGCGCTCGGATTTTCCCATTAGCAGAAATGTTGCAAATTCAGAAATTACAGCTGCTCCCTGCCTCCAGGTCACTGGCACTTTGTAAAGCAAGACGGGTTTACTGTGGAGATTTCACACGTGGAAATGTGGCTTTTGAATCGCTCTGCAAAAAGAAACACATGCTGTCTTCTCCTGCAGCTATCTCTGGGTGGAATGCAGCGGCACACAGTACGATTAGACAAGGCCACAGTGTCTATCTGAAACCATACGGCGATTTTAAGGAAGCAGAATATAATTATCCAAATTTAACTCGTGACCAGCACTGCGAGGCTGAGATCACAGGTCTCATGCAAAGTGCCATCCGAGCTTTAGTTATCACAAGCAGTCAGGTTCTGGCCCTCTGGAAAGACACATCCTCCTGCCCACCAGGTCCATAATGTTGCCTTGGCTTGGTAGTAATAAGCTTTAGGATTTGCACAGCTTCTATACCAAAACGCTATGATTTGCGGATGTTAGAGCGTTCTAACAGCATGATCAAACAAGGCAGGCAACTGGTTTAACAGAGCCATTGATTTTTCTGTCTGCCAGATAACTGTGATTCAATAGCCATTATTGTCTTCTGAGAACTAATTGGGAACTGGATTCATTGTAAACAAAGGAGCTAACAAGCTGTAAAACAATCAATAAATGGTAGCTGAAGACATCAGGAAAAGAGATTGCTTGTGAGTCAGTGGGAGAATAATTCTCTTGAGCAACTGGATGTCTGTCCCTGCCAAGGGTTACAGTCTATCGGCGGGTTTGTCTGGAATGCTGAACACCCCCAAAGCTAGAATCAGAACTGCCGGCGCTGATCTAGTTGGCGAGAGCAAACAGGACAAATGCCCAAAAAAAAGCCGGGATGGCCGGGACAGGCTTTCAAAAAGGGATTGTCCAGGCCAAAATGGGACATATGGTCACCCTAAGTTCTGAGGATGTTCTCAGAATCATGGCCTGGATTTCAGCATCGACCTTGGGCTTTGTGCTGCTGAGGCAACCCAGGAGAATTCAATGCCACTGATCCACTGCTTGCTGCAAGTGGGGATTTTTCAAGAGCTCTTCATTCGACTGCCCTGCTTTGTGTTATCAAGCCTGGCTGCAGAACGGCTGTGTGAATGGGTAGCAGCGGGGGAGCACTAGAAGACACTGGCCTAGTTAGAGCAGCTCTTGGAGAACTGGACGTAGGACATGGCTGAAATATTGGATACTGGTCCCACAGGCTGTTCTCTGGGAGGAGCGAATGCGTCACCTAGGGCCATTCCTAAGGCCAATGGGATTTAAACCCACGTCCCTAGGGAAACAGAGCCTTGTTTGATGATTTGCCGTCTTAGTTTGCCTTTGGGCCAGGAGGCTGAGGGCTTAGGGGCTGCTGCTGGGCCAGTGTTGCCAACGCTCGTGAGTCTTGTGATAATTATTGTTTTCCTTAAAGCCCCAGCTCCTGGAGTCAAGTGGAAATGTGATGATTTCAGCCTTCATTCTTAAAGAAAAAGTAAGTTTCTAGCCCTTGTGGCTGTGGAGAAAACTTTCAAATGTGACCCTAAAGGCTCCCAAAGCAGAAGGCAAATAGAAAGTACGTATTCAGTTTACAGGATCTCATGATTTGAAAGCCAATCTCATGAGTTTTGGTGCCCCCGACTCATGATTTTGGAACATTTGAGGTAGGCAATCCTGCAGGGCTCAATCCCTGCTCGGAGCACAGCTCAGCGGGAAGGAGGGCCCTGCACCTTAAGGGTTGTCAGCTTAGAGAGGCGCTTTTAAACCATGGCCCCTCCAGTTCCCAAGTGCCCTTCTGTAAAGGAGGGAGGCCTAACCCCAGCAGCCTGGCTCAGCATGGCTGGGTTTGCCTCCAGCGGCACTGGGTGGCCAGTGTGGCAGTCAGCCCTTTGCAGCGGGAGCCAGGATGCCTGGAGCCAGGACACCTGGAACCAGCACTGCAACAACCAGCCTGCCCGAAAGCACCCATGCCCTCTAGACAGGACATCAGCACTTAGTGTTTAACACTCCGAGTGCTGGCAGCAGCTACAGAAATCAAGGGCTGCGCCATCATCCCCTTTTCTGTCACGTCACAGCAGATGGTACATTTCCTTGTCACCGGTGGAAGGCGTTCTTGGCGTCAGGCTTGTCTCCAGCTAAGGATTCATTGCTCTGCCTGGGTCAGCGAAGTCAACTCGCTCGCTCCGGAGAGCAGTACACCCAGCACTGCGACTCCCCAGGAACTAGTTCTTTGAGACATTAGTGTTGTAAAGTTGGGAGAAGGGACTGGAAAGCAGTGCTGGCCGGAAAGCAGAATCCAGCAACCTTTTACTGCTCTAGTCATGGGTTGTTTTTTTTTTTTTTGGCGGGGGGGGGCAGGAGGGAGGTGTGTCTCCTAGCCAACGCCATCTCCACTGTACCTAATACCCCTAGAGCATGCCAACTCCTATTCCCAATGCCCAACGCTATAATCAGTCAGTTCCCTAACAATGTCCTGCCCCAGACTTCTGTGTTCATTACCCACACAATGTCCTATACACACATGCCAAATCCTTGGCTAAAAAGACAATAGAAAGCTTCAAATTTATGCTCAGTAAGAACACATTCCTTTGGCAAAGATACTGGAACAATGAGCAGGACTTCAGAGTACATTGAAAAGGTTCCATTTGGTAAAACACATTCCTTCTGCGGCTGTTATTCTAACAAGGTACTTATAAAAATGATTCATAAGAGGCAGCCAAAAATTGACCCACGCCCGGGAAATGCACCAGCACTAGGCAGCAGCGTGGAACTGTTTATTCACAGACAAGAGACTTGGCATACACAGCTACAGTGCAAGTCTGAATATTTAATACAGTTATAATCTTGTATATACAGAAAGAGAATTGTAATTAACTAAGCAGCCCTGTGTAATAATTGATACGGCTGTTTTTCTGGCTCAGGTGACTTTTGCTTATCTTTTTCTAACTATGCTCTTCCTTTTTGCTTTAATGTTTTAAAGCCCCAGATTCACACTGTAGCATAGCAAAGACACGGACACCACCTCCTAGCTCAGAGACGCCATGCAGGTCCCTGGGAGGACATTTCATTTTCATTTTAGAGTGCAAGGAATTTTGAAGGCCAAAAACCACCCCTGAAAGCAATGATACAATTTAGTTCAAAGCGTAAGCTGGGAATCACCCCATTTCAGTCAGTTGGGAGGAGGGGGGGCGGCACCGGTGGCATCTGGGGGCTGCAGTGCTTTCATATGCAGTGGAAGGTGCTGGATGTGCATGGGGGTTCACATTTTACATGCTGTTGAGTTGTACCCTCACCAGTCTGCTGGCAGACTCAGGGCAGGATCATTTGATGGGGGCATGCCACAGGGGGCCTCGTGTCCTCTCAGCTCCCCAGAGGGGCCCATGCCTCTCGGCTCTGATCGTTTGCCTACCCTTGAGAAACTGATCTCCCAGAAACTCCATTCTGATAGTCGGCTTGGCTCCCCCAGGACTAGCTGCTATTCTGCTTCCCTTACAGGCTCCAAACTCCAAGCCTAGCCAGAGGGCAGAGGATGAGAACCAAGATCTGCCTTGTGGAGCCGAGAGCAGAATTTTGCCTTTCGGACTCAATCCTGCTTGTGCTGCACTCCCTCAGGTCCCCTTGACATCCCAGAGAACCAAGCATGCTCAGGAGGTCACAGGATCAGTACAAGCAGAACCTGAAGAGAGGAAGAGACTCCGGCAGCATTTAGCTCAGAACTGCTCCAGTTGGTGGAGGACTATGCTAACAACCTGGGACTTTGGCTGGACCGGGTACTAGCCAGACACAAAAATCCTGCCAACAGCCCTAGTACCCCTCTGCCATGTTTAATAATATGGGAGCTGATGTGTGTTACTCATTTGCCCCTCATTCATGCTTCCCAGGGCTACTCTAGCTTTCCCACGCCCACTCCATCTGGAACGATTAGGGCTGGTAGCTAAGCAGAGGGCAGGTGTAGAAATAACAGCACTTACAATGGTGCTTAGGGAGCTGTCGCGCCAAGGAGTTTGCCACTTGGAGTTTGCCAAACTCAATGAGCAAAGGCCAAGCTGGCTCTGCAGCCCTGGGGGCTAGCGGGGTCATGCAGGTCAGATTCAGTCTTAATGCAAGGGAACGAGTGCAAGGGAATGAGACGTGCTCCTGCTGTCATGACATACACTCGGGGCTATTGTTCACACCCATCCGGTTTACAGGAGGCTGCTGCAGGACAGCTGGATTTGCTTTGCAAGGAACCTCACCTAAGTGACACCTTAGGCCACGGGCCTGCCCTGAGCTGCTCAGGATTTGCTTACGGCGTTAAGGAATGCTGTGGCAGAGACAAGGGACGGTTTGTGCAGAGCTCAGGACTACTGGCCAAAGCCAGTCCTGCCGTGTCAGGTCTACCTACAGCTGGGAGTTCCTCTGTTCTCAGCCCACCTGGGAGCCTGGCCTGGCCTCCCCTGGCTGCGGGCTGGGAACAGGCCATGCTAAGGCTGCAGGAGCCTGGGCAGGACAGAAGGGGTGTGAAACTCAGTGCTGAACCAGCCAGCAGGCATCTCTGTACCCACTTTGGGAGGAGGGAGACATGCAAGAGGGGGTGGGAAAGAGCAGGGAGGGTGGCAGGATCGCTGCAGTGGGGGAGCGTTTCTTCCTGTATGGAGGAAACTTTGTTAAGCCAGTAACATGCCTGAACCACTGCCCACGGCTGGAATCCAAATTGTTATGCTTACACCTGGAAACAGCCGTAAGGCCTTTGTAGCAGCCTTAGTGCTAACGAACCAGGAGGGGAGGGGGAAGGGAGTGACCATGAGGAGTAAACGTGACCCTGTGCCCTCCTGACCTGAGCTTTTTGCCAAAGCATGTGGTTTGCAAGATGGAAAGTCTGGGGATAGTTAACTTTTGCGCTGTGAAATGCAGCCAGTTAACTGATGGGCAAGCAAGGCAGGAAAACGCCACACTTAGCGTCTGCTGAGCAGGTTTTGGTGAATGGGCTGTTTCATACTAACAATTTGGGTATAAAAAGAGGAAGAAATCTGGGCTCGGTGGACACTTGAACCACCTCTCGAGTTTCCCCTGCAGACGGAAGGCTGATCACTGGCTGACTAATCCACGCGAGACCTCCTCAAGACCCTGGGTAAATATGAATCTGGGGGTAATTTGGGGTGCTCTGCTAACCTGTTGCAGGCATGTGGAAGTGCTGGAGATGAAATAAAGTAGAAGCTTTGAGTGAAAGCATTTTTGTTTGCCTGCTTGCATCAACTCTCTATCAGCCAGTTGGCCGTGTCTCCATTTATTTCCTGCCACCCCCTTACAGGAAGTAACGTTACCAAGAGCTTTGGGTTCAGCAAAACCCTGGGTAACACTCCCAGGGCCCCACGGGTACAAACAGCCTCTGGATGCTACCAGGCTAAACCTCACGGGCCAGATTCTCTGGGGCCGACACTCCCTGCAAGCAGGCCCCTCTGGCGACAGTGACATTATATGAACTAAGAACTGGGCTCTGCATGGCACAACCCCACGAAGACTGTCCTGCCCCCGTTTATAACACCACCCCAGGTAGTTCACACTTCTGCACAGTGCCTGTCTCTGTGGCAATGCCTTTGGGATCTTTATTCCCTGCTTTTCTCAGTGAGTTGACACTCACCAATGGCGTTTGTTTCTCTAATCAGTTTGTTATTAGTTCTCATGATGCATGAGCACATTGCGGGACCCCTGGGCTGCCAGCACTGCTGGGGCCCTTTTAAACCTGAACCTAGGATCATTTGCATTGGACTCTTTGATGACATACTGTGGATATTATCATTTTATTAGCATTAGATTCTTTCTGTTTCTGGCAGACTCTACATTTTGATGCTCAGCCAGTGTCCCAAAAACACCAGGATGTAAACTCAACCTGGAACCCTCCTATTCCATTAAGCTGCCCCAGGTTGGATTCCTTCGTTCGGTGCAGAAGTTGACCCTTTGAAATGGACACAAAATTTAAACATGTATTGAGAGCAAGGGGAGAATGGCTGTTCGCATCACGCAGAATTCCAGCCTGACGTGGATCACTGGGATTTTACCCCAGGAACTTCCATTGTTCAGAAAGGGAGCAGACTTTCTGTGCTCTGCTTCTTCTGGGCTAGAACAGAGTATTTTATGGGGCACTTGCTATAAAATAGGGAATGAGGAAATTCTATCTGTGACCAGATGGCTCCTGTTAGCCCAGCGAGATGGAGGGACTCAGCAGTGCCAGGCCACAAGGCCGCTGGTTTAGGTCTTACCCTGAGTCACTTGTAGGACTGTTGCCCAGAGGGTGTTTGCTGCTGACTGGGAGGTGCAAGAGTGGCTGGCACAGCTCCATGATACAGATACAACAAATGCAATTGTAACCACAAGCTGGTCATGTACCTCAGATCTGGAGTGTCTTACCTTTTGCTGGTAGATTGCTAAGATGATTAAAGCAACAAATAGGGGAGATGACCCAATGCCACCTGTGCCATGTGCTTTCTGAAAGAAACAAAGGGACTGATCCTGCATCCTTCATAGGAATAGTTTTGCCATTGAATGCAATGGGAGCTGGATTGGGCCTTATGAGAACAAGGCAGAACTCCCAGTGAAAACACTAGAGGGCTGCCAGACTCAAGCCTGATAGGATATTATGCACCCCCCTCCCAGGGGTGTCTGCATGGGCTGCAAGAGGGAATTAATGCTGCATTGGAATCAGGGCCGGCTCTAGGCACCAGCAAAACAAGCAGGTGCTTGGGGCGGCACATTTCTAGGGGCGGCATTCCGGCGCCGGCCATGCCGCCCCTAGAAACGTGGCCCCCGCTGCCCCCGCTCCGCCTCCACCTGCTCCCCTGAGTGTGCCGCCGCTCGGCTTCTCCCCCCTCCCTCCCAGGCTTGCCGCGCGCCAAACAGCTGTTTGGCGCTGCAAGCCTAGGAGGGAGGGAGGAGAAGCGGAGCGGTGGCGTGTTTGGGGGGAGGCGGCGTTGGTGGAGTGGAGGCGAGCTGGGGTGGGGAGCGGTTCCTCTACCCCCCCACCCGTTATTTCCTGCGCTCCCCTCCCCACCCTCACTCACCTCCGCTCTGCCTGCTCCCCTGAACGCACTGCCTCTCCCTCGCCTGAGAGGGAGGGGGGAGAAGCAGAGCAGTGGCGTGTTCAGGGGAGCAGGCGGAGCGGAGGTGAGCTAGGGTGCGGGTTGTGGGTGGGGAGCTGCAGGAAGCAATGGGTGGGGGAATGCGGTACACCCAGGGGAGGAGGCAGGGCTGGGGATTTGGGGAAGAGGCGGCGTTGGGGCGGAGCCGGGGGTGGGGGGGGCACAAAAAAAAGCGGGGGAGGCCAAAAATTTTTTTGCTTAGGGAGGCAAAAATCCTAGAGCCGGCCCTGACTGGAATAGCAGCTGACCTTCTGTTCACACCTGCCCAGGGTCGTGAGTGCTTTGCTAAAGGCTGGGTCACTCACACGCTGACAGCAGGCGAAGTGGCCCTGGCAGGTTAGATACACCAGGCATTTTTCTTTCTCCCAACAGCAGCTGTTCTTTTGGTTGTACTAAATCAGAAACACCAGGCTGGGGCTATTCTTACAGTCGGGCCTCCCGCCTATGAAGCGTATGACCAGCTGGACATGCCACACCTAGGGCTGGAGTCCCCACTGCTTTGTGTGATGGCCACCAGCTGAGAATCTGAACCACGGACCTGCAGGAGCTGAAGCTTAAAGCCAAGTCTCTGTAATTGGAGGCTGTCACAATTCACAATTAACATGGCTACCACTCTGAAACAATTCATAGAGTGTTGCTGGCCTGTGGTATACAGGCAGGCAGACTAGATGACTTGGGGACCCCTTCTGGCCTTAAACTCTATGACTGGGGAGGAACCTGGAACCCACACTCACCTGTGGGCTACGTATTCTCTTTGTGCTGTCACGTGCACCTGTGCACTATGGGCCTAGAATGCCACCTCTGGTGGGTGTGAGAGGAGACTGCTGGGTTGGTAGCATTTGGCACCCACGTTCAGCACATGTGGATGACTGCACTGAGGTGTGAAATGCCTCTACCTCCTGGGAGCAGAGTGTTCTGAGCTGGCACCTAGGGAGATTTCCCATTCACACCACACGACCTGCCAGAAGATTAATCAAATAACTCTACTGCTGGTAGGCTTCTCGCCATGGTAATGTCTATTTAAATCGCTCTGACCTGACATCACAGAGTGGAGTGAGCGTAGGTGTCTGGGTTTCATCTTCAGACGTTTAAAGGACCATGAGATTGGACGTGCACGAAAATATTTCCTAGCTAGCAGTGGTGATAAGAGATAGATTGCCAGCCTGGGAGGCTGACATCCTCCACCCAGCCCCATGTGTAGTTATAACTGCAGTGAGGCCATCCAACTCCACGCGACAGAATTAGGCCAGTGCCGCCGGTTAGTGCAACAGCTCTAAGACTAAGGTGAGTCCACCACCAACCACAGCCTTAAAGAGGCCCGGCTGGGGCCGGGAGGGCTGAAATTAGAGCTCCTGGGTGTGGCTGGCAGGCATGGGTGCACACTCTGCCCGCCCTCTGCTCTCCCTGACTACTGTATTGCTGTGCCTAGGCAGGGAGAGTGGAGCACACGGCTTGTCTAGAGGTGTTGTGGGACCTTGGCAGAGATTTGGATCCAGCCATCCCGCACTGATCCCCAGAGGACCTGTGGATGGCCTGGCTCCACTGATCCCGCTCAGAGCACAGAAGATCCCCCCATTTCCCCACACTGCCATCCCCCAAAGGGCCCGTAGTGCAGTGGCTGGACACAGAGTCCCTCAGTGCCTTGCCATGAATTCAACACCAGGTGAGTGCCAGAGAACAATAAACGTCCCTTGTCCTCCATTCCCTGTTCCCCCCAGTCCGGATCAGGCTCAGCACTGCCGTCTCTGCAGCGCTCCCAGCCCCCCGGGCCAGGCCAAGGTGAGTTCTGCCCCCCGCACGTCATCACACGACACTGGACTTCAGGCCAGCCCGACATCAAGTATCTTGGTAGCCACTTCTTTATCCGCGGGCGTGGGCACGGGTGTGCTCCCCTCCCCATCATTCTTCGAAGATGGTACATTCAGGGGCGGAGCGTCATAGCTGGAAAGGCTGATTGGCTGGCAGCAATGTGACATCATTGTGGAACGTCACACTGCGCGGGGAGAGGGATAAACGACTCCCAGGAAGGACAGCCTGGTGCAGCCGGGAAATGCCTGCAGGAGGAGGGAGAAGACCGCACTGTACAAGCCACGCGAGAGGGGAGGCTGCAGACGCACTGGGGAGGGAGAGGCAGGGGTCTGGGAGTGAGGATTCCTCGTCCGTCCGCGCGCCGGCTGCTGTTCGGAGCGGGCCGCAGAGGATCAGTTATTGTTCACAATCCACCAGGAGGCTGGGAAAGCAAACGGGGAAAGAGCATGAGCCACGAAGAGCTAAAGGGGGCCCTCATCTATATTGTTGAGTGCACAGGGAAAAGACAGGGAGAGCTGGGTTCTACCCCAGAGACTTCCCCGTGGCCCTGGGCAGGCGGCTGACTCTGTCTGGGCCTCAGTCCCCCTTCTAGAGAACGGGTCTACTATCCAGGGGTTGCAGGGATTGATTCACTAAGTTCTTTGAGAGCCTCAGGCGCTCAGTGCGGGGTAAGTCGGCTGTGGGGCAGGTGGGAGCCCCTCTGCTCACTCACCCCAGGACGAACTGCCCCCAGGCTCGCAGCCATGGGATTCTCATATCCCTCCCTGCCCTGGCACAGCACCAAGGCCACGGTCCGCCCTGAGGTTTCACACTGGCTAAACGGCACAGAAGTCACGGCGAGTTTTGCCTGTGCAAGGATGTGAGCATCAAGCCTAGCAGCATTTCCAACCCCCTGGGTTGTTCCCCTGCCCCACTAAACAAGGCAGAAATACTGGGACTAAATGTACTTAACACCTTGAGCCGGAGTCCAGCCCCAGCTCTGAGCCCTGCCCAGCACAGGGGGCTCTTCAGTTCATTTTGCCTGGCTGTGTCAGCTCGATACACAGGCAGGGCCCCTTTTAGCTCAGCGACAGCCCCTCCCTGCCAAGAACAGGAGATGTGCAAAAGGCAACCTCTCCCTCCAAAGTGGCACTGGGTGCCCCCAGCAAAGCCAGGCAGAGGGCACCTGCTGCCCTCCTCTCCCCTGGGTCAGTTCTGGCGATGGCCCTGCTGGACGTTAGCTTCCTGTTTTGCTGCTGACTCTTGCTAGGACAGCTCCTAATCACTGCTCAGCTGTGCCTTCCCCATAGGTCAGCAGGACGCACTGTGCAATGCAGTCGCAAGGGACACAGCTGGGAGGCAGGGGCTGCACCAGCAGGACTGGAGCAAGGAGGAGGAACATGACAATGGGGTAGAGAATATAATCCAGATTAGCCACACGCTGAGCTCAGATCCCGGTGGGGCTCTGGGGCGATGGTGGACCTGGGCTGGTTTTTGTTTTATCTACCCCTGCTTAAGGCTGGCTGAGGCAGTGGCAGATTTAGAGTTAGTGGGGCCCTGTGCTCAGCTTCATTTTTGCCCCCCTTTGCCCGCCCCCCTCCAGGGGGAGCATTCTCTTTTATCCCCCCCACCCTTTTTCATTCTTTTTTTCTGTATTCTCCTCTTGGGACTCAAAGTTGGGGTGCGGGGTCTGGGTGGGAGTTAGGGTGCAGGAGGGGGCTCAGGGTTGGGGTGCAGAGTCTGGGAGGGAGCTACAGTGTGGAAGCAGGCTGGGGGTTGGGGTGCAGGGTCTGGGTGACAGTAAGGGTGCAGAAGCAGGCTGGGGGTGGGGTCTAGGTGAGAGGGTGTGGGAGGGGGTTCAGGGCTGGGGGTGAGGGGGTCTGGGTGGGAGTTAGGGTGCAAGAGGGGCTCAGGGCTAGGGCAGGCAGGGGATTGGGGTGAGAATTGCTTACCTGGCACAGCTCTGGTTTGGTGCGGGCAGTGCAGGTGGCTCCGCGGGCCCCCTGCAGCTCCCACTGGCCGCGATTCTTGGACCCACTGCCCCCCCACCAGGCAGGGCTGAAATGCAGGGGCTTTAGGGCCTGCAGCCTAGGGCCCCGGGCTAAGGGGGCCCTGGGCTGCAACCCCTAAAGCCCACCCCCTTTCTGACTCCAGCTCTGTGAGCACAGGCTGGAGGACTCAGGAGGAGCAGGGGCAGCCGCGCAGCCGGCAGCCAGAGAGAAGCAGCGGTTTCCCCTTCAATGCGCCGCTTCTCTCTGGCTGGCTACGCGGCTGCCCTGTGCTCCTCCTGAGTTCTCTGGCCTGAGCTCGCGGTGCTCCCGCCACCCACAACTCCCGCCTGCTCTCCTGTCCCCTGCAGTCCGGCCCCATGGAGCAGCACCCCCGCGGGGGGCGCGTCGGTGCTGAGCTGCCCAAGTGTCCGGCCCTGGGGCCCCCTGTTGTTGGAGGGCTCTGTGCCAGGGCACCCTGTGTTTAATGGTAAACCCGACCCTGGTCTGAGGTTCTCCCTCAGTGCCCTTGCAATCAGGAAGACCATATTTCCAGAAGGCCTGAGGCCTGGGCTCCCTGCTAAATCTGCATTAAGGTGCCTTACAATGAAATTTAGGCACAAATCTGAGCACTTGCCCCTCTGCCGACCTGCCTTGTGCTCCTGACACAGAACTGGGGCAGGAAAATGGGACCACAATTTCTGTCCACAAATGGGAATGAGGCCTGAGCTACCCATTCGGGCCACATCTTGGAATATAGGGCAGGGGCAGGGCTGGGAGTTCAATGCAGCAATTTAAGGCAAGAGCCAGGTTGCTGGCAGAAGGGTCTCGCACCTGAGTAGAGATCTGTGACCCAGGAAAGGCTGATAGGGCCATCAGAAAACTGACCAAAAATACACCAGAGATGAAGGCAAACAGCATCACAGCGTATAGCATGCTTATCGCCTCTTGTAATAGTAACAGCTATTAATAAATCATTTGCATCACTGTGGTAGCTCTTTATACATTCATAGCTCTTTACAAGCCTTAACTAATTCATTAATCCTGCTTGTCTTTCTCTCTCTCTCTTGCCTGCTTCCTAACTGTTTACAGAATAAATTTTGCAAGAGCTGGGGTTTCAGCCTCAATATTCTGGCCAAATTAATATTTGAACAGTTACATTCTGTCTCCCTAAATTCCTTCTGCAGCTAAGTTTACATCCTCACTTCCTGTTCTTAACTGTTGGATAGTGTTGCTCTGTGCTGTTAAACAGTTACCGTGTTCCGCCGCAGAGCTGGCTGCATTGCAGTGGTGGGTGAATGGATTCCTACAGTACTATATGGGTGTATACAGTATATAATGACGTCACTGGGCGTTATTCCTGAGTAAAGGCGGCAGGATGGAATCCATAGTTTGCAATTCCCGTTAGCAGCTCATCTCAATATGTTTGGGCATAAGAGTACCCCACCTGGGAAGAGCATGGTGGTCACAAGCTCTGGAGACTTCAGCACGTCAATGATGGCCCACTGGAACGTCTTGCTGTAGCTGGACTGCAAGTGACTGCAAAGAAATACGGAGAGTTAGGACAATGTCAAAGCCAGTATGATTGTGTCAGAGCCAGCCTGCACATTGCTATACAGGGGTGGGGCAGAGCTTTTGTGTGGGTGTGCAAGAGAGGAAGAGTGTACGCAGACACTTGCCACCCTTGTGCGCACCCACGAGAGGACCGGGGCAGGGGGCAGTCCTTGCACTCCCCAGAGCAGAACACCTTCTGTCTCAAATGTGCTGATAATGCACCCATCCACACATGATAGTGGTTAGCACATCATTCAAAATGTCAGTGCCCCCTTGTGGTCATTTGATCCTGCTGCCCTGTGCAGATAGGTGTAAATAACTAGACAGGTCAAATCAGGGAGGCGGTAACCACTGGTAGGTGCAGGAAGAAGTGGAAAAGGGTGAGCATCCTGAATAGAAATCCCATCTTGTTTCTTTCACAAGAATTGCACTTGGATGCAGCCTTCCTCAGTCTGGACACCTTCAGCAATGAATTGCAATTAGCCTCAAACCTTCTCCATGAAGTCACGTCCTGCCAGAACTCATAGAGAATGAAGCAGGCCTCGCTCGTCAGCTTGCGGGAAGACACGCTGCAGGGGCAATAATGAATGCTCTCAGTACGTCAGCTTCTTGAAAACCGGGGTGGGGGGAAAAAGCCAGTTTGGGTTCACGCAAATGTTCCAACGGTTTCAAAATGTTTTGTTTCACTTTTGCCCTTTTTGTTTTAAAAATGTTTTTTTTACTGTAATTAGCTTAAAATTTGAAAGAAAAAGTTGTTTGGAATGGGAAACCGGGAGTTTTTCGTTTGGAAAATGTCAAAAAGGGCCGTTTCAATTCTTTACAAACTTTTTTTTCAAAAATGTTTTCAGTCAAGAGCTGAACACATTGGTGCAGGGAACTGGAACGGAAGGGTTAGCAACACTTAGCATATATATAGCTCTTTACATGGTCAAAGCACTGTATGGACACATTAACTCATTCATGCTCACAGTGATTGGTCCCATTTTACAGAGGAAGAAAGTGAGGCAGAAAGCTGGAGGGAGGTGTTCAAGGTCACACGGTAAGAGAGTAGCAGAGCCAAGATGAGACCCCCAGGCCCTACTGTTTGCCCACCCCACACTCATACCTCTAACCTACACCAGCTTCCAGAGTGGTAAGTGCCTGACATTTTCACACCATGGGGGGAGGGGGGAAGAGAGACAGCAGATACAGATTGTGAAATGCCTGAAGGAGAATTTCCCAGTCAACTCTAATGTAATTCTTTTGACCAGGAAAGGAACATAGACCCAATTGCCCTAACGCACACCCTGCGGAGCAAAGGTAACAATTACTGCAATCAAAAGAACAAACCAAACAGCAGAATCCAAGACAATGCAATTAACTCGGAGCTGTGCTGGAGTGCATCACAGCTGTTGTGTTCGCAGAGTTACTGACTCACTGGGCCCTCGGAAGGCACTTTGTGAAAGGCATCAGAGAAACTTTCCTTCTAGGCTAATCTAACTAGAGCGGCTCACCATTTTTCATGCGGCCAGCCTTCCTGCAGAAAAACACGGTTTCATTGAAACCAATCTTTTTCATGTGGAAATGACAATTATGAGGAGAAATTACAACGTTCCTCCACAGCAAATCCCATATGTTTTATTTAAATAGAAAATCCGAAGTGACATTTTAAATGGACACAAAATGAGAATTTTCTATTCCCAACCCGTTCGACACTTCCTGCAGGAAAACTGACATCTTTCAGCTAAACCGCATTTGGGGACTTGCCACAGACAGCCCAGGGAGCCTGGGGCAGAATCAGACAGCTCCCCCAGCTCTGGGTCATTGCTGCCTTGTTTTTTTGAATTCAGCTCTTTTGGACTGCTGGGGTGAGGGACGTGCCTTTGGCTTAGACAGAGAGAGGCCTTCAGCCTCAGGGGCTCTCAACCAGACACGTTTCACCAGCACTACTGACCCTTTAAAACCAAAGGGGAATGGTGGACACAGTACTGAAATGTGATTGATGTACCCCACCTGACCCTTCCTCCCTTTATCTCTCATCTCATGCTATGCCATTGTAACATGCCACGGTCACTTACAGCACACCCCGCAGCCACGATCCGAGCCAGGACTTTCAGCACCAAAGCCACAGGCCTCCTTAGCGAGGAGTGAGTAGCCGGCTGTTATAGGTGCTGGGAGCACCCGCTAGAGGGAGACGGGGTGACACAATGCAATCGGAGGTGTGGCTGCACTTTGCGTGGGCATTCCTGTGCCAGCTTTAATCTAGCCAGCCCAGCTAAAAATAGCAGTGAAGACAGTGACGTGGACCCCGGCACAGGCTGCACGAGCGTGCACAGAGCCCGGGGGACGCACTCATATTGCTAGCCCACGCTAGGATCTGGCTGCCACTTGTTCTGAGTCAAGCGAGGTAGATTAAAGCTAGCACCGGTAGGCGAACCCGAGCGGCAGTCACACCTCTGACTCAGGAGCGGCGGAAGCACCCTGAAAGTGTGGGGGCGCACAGGCGCCTGAACTGACGCCCCGCCCCCATGCCATCTCTTCCCCCGAGGCCCCACTCCCCCATCCGCTCCTCTCTGCCCCCACTTTTAAAGTGGGAGGGCCATGGCTCCCTGGCCCCCCTGTTACGGAGCCCCCGCTCTGACTGCCATGTAGACAAACCCTCGGCCAAAATGTTATGCCGGTATAAAAACACTCCATCCTTCTGTCACGGAGTGTGGGGGAGTCCAGGCCCTGCACCCCTCTTCCTGGGATCCACTGAGACTCTCAGCCAGCCAGTAAAACAGAAGGTTTATTGGACAACAGGAACACAGTCCACAACAGAGCTTGTGGGTACAACCAGGACCCCTCAATCACGCCCTTCTGGGGGAGCAGGGAGCTTAGACCCCAGCCCTGGGGTTCCCTGTGTTCCTCCCCCAGCCTCCAAACTGCCAACTAAACTCACCCCGCAGGTTCCCTGCTGCAGCCTCTGTTCACATTCCTGGGCAGAGGTGTCACCTCCCCCTCCCCTCTCCTGGCTCAGGTGACAGGCTCTCAGGTCTCCCATCCCCAGGGCACATTCCCAGGTCAACACTCCCCCTCCCTGCTGAGTCACATCGTCACATCTCTCCCCCCTTCGAGACTGAACTGAGCGGGGTCACTGTGACCAGTGACCTGGGGAAGTTCGGGCCCCCTCTCCGGGACAGCGCATCCGCTATCAGGTTGGCACTTCCCTTCACGTGGACCACGTCCATGTCGTAATCCTGCAGGAGCAGGCTCCATCTCAGGAGCTTGGCGTTGGCTCCTTTCATCTGGTGCAGCCAGGTCAGGGGCGAGTGGTCGGTGTACACGGTGAAGTGCCGCCCGAAGAGATAGGGCTCTAGTTTCTTGAGGGCCCACACCATGGCCAGGCACTCCTTCTCGATGGCCGCGTAGTGTTGCTCCCGGGGTAGCAACTTCTTGCTCAGGTACACGATGGGGTGTCTCTCCCCCTTTTCATCCTCCTGCATTAACACCGCCCCCAGTCCCGTGTCGGAGGCGTCGGTGAACACCACAAAGGGCTTGTCAAAGTCTGGGTTTGCCAGAACTGGGCCACTGACCAGAGCCTCCTTCAGCGCCCGGAAAGCCTCCTGGCACTGCTCGGTCCAGACCACCTTGTCTGGCTTCCCCTTCTTGCATAGCTCAGTGATGGGGGTGGCTATGGCGCTAAAGTGAGGCACAAATCTTCGGTAGTATCCTGCCATCCCAATAAAGGCTTGGACCTGCTTTTTGGTGTGGGGAGCGGGCCAGTCTCTGATCACCTCCACCTTGGCTGGTTCCGGCTTTAGGCGGCCGCTCCCCACCCGATGGCCCAGGTAAGACACTTCCGCCATCCCCACCTTGCACTTCTCCGCTTTACAGTCAGCCCAGCCCCCTGGAGTCGGTCCAGCACTTGTCTAACCTGGGACACGTGGTCCTCCCAGGTCTGGCTAAAGACACAGATGTCATCAATATACGCCACGGCAAAACTCTCCATCCCCTCAGGAGCTGGTCCACCAGGCGCTGGAAGGTGGCCGGCGCTCCCTTGAGGCCGAAAGGCAGGGTCAGGAACTCATAGAGCCCCAGAGGGGTGATAAAGGCCGATTTCAGCCGGGCATCTGCATCCAGCGGCACTTGCCAGTAGCCCTTTGTAAGGTCCATGGTGGTGAGGTACCGAGCTCCTCCCAGCTTGTCTAGGAGCTCGTCCGGCCTGGGCATGGGGTAGGCATCAGATACAGTGATGGCATTGAGCTTCCGATAGTCCACACAGAACCGGACCGACCCGTCCTTTTTGGGGACCAGCACCACCGGCGAGGCCCAAGGGCTGGCAGATGGCTGGATCACCCCCAAAGCCAGCATGTCCCGGACCTCTCTTTCCAGGTTCTGAGCAGTTTTCCTTGTGACCCTGTCTGCACCCGGTGGACAGTCAGATTAGTGCGTCCAGGCTGGTTGGAAAACAGCTGTCGGTACGGATGCAGCACCCCCTGACCTCAGCTTGCTGGGCAGGGGTTAGCTGATCCGAGAGGGGATTGTTTCCAGGGGGGAACCAGCTCTAGTCCCAGGGAATAGATCCACTAAAGGGTCATCTCCCTGCTCTTCCCACTGTCCACACACGGCCAACACCACATTCCCCCTGGCATAATATGGCTTCATCATATTCACATGGTACACCCGGCGGTGGTGCGCCCGGTTCGACAGCTCCACCACATAGTTTACCTCATTGAGCTGCTTGACGACCTTGAAAGGGCCCTCCCAGGCGGCCTGTAGTTTGTTCTTTCTCACTGGGATGAGAACCATCACCGGATCCCCGGTGGCGTAGGCACGGGCCCTTGCCGTGCGGTCATACCAGACCTTCTGCTTCTTCTGGGCTCTGGCCAGATTCTCCCTGGCCAGGCCCATGAGTTCAGCAAGTCTCTCTCGGAAGATCAGGACATACTCCACCACTGACTCTCCATCGGGAGTGGCCTTCCCCTCCCACTCGTCTCTCATCAGGTCCAGGGGCCCCTCACCCTCCTTCCATATAACAGTTCGAAAGGCGAAAATCCGGTAGACTCCTGTGGCACCTCCCTGTACGCGAACAGCAGGTGAGGTAAGTACTTGTCCCAATCCTGTGGGTGCTGGTTCATAAAGGTTTTCAGCATCATCTTTAGCGTCCCGTTAAACCTCTCCACCAGCCCGTTGGACTGGGGGTGATAAGCTGAGGCCCAGTCGTGCCGGACCCCACATTTCTCCCACAAGCACCGGAGCAGGGCCGACATGAAGTTGGAGCCTTGGTCTGTCAAGACTTCCTTGGGGAACCCCACTCGGCTGAAAATGGTCAGGAGCGCATCGGCCACGGTGTCTGCTTCAATGGAAGCTAAGGGCACTGCCTCGGGGTAGCGGGTGGCAAAATCTACCACCACCAGAATGTATTTCTTCCCCGACCGGGTCGTCCTGCTGAGAGGCCCCACGATGTCCATGGCCACCTTCTGGAAAGGCTCCTCTATGATGGGCAAAGGTCTCAAAGCCGCTTTCCCCTTGTCCCGGGCCTTCCCCACCCTCTGACAGGGGTCACAGGATCGGCAATACTGCCGGACCGTGGTAAAGACCCCGGGCCAGTAAAAGTTCTGTAGCAACCTCTGCCGGGTGCGCCGGATTCCCTGGTGCCCTGCGAGGGGGATGTCATGGGCCAGGTACAGGAGCTTGCGGCGATACTTCTGGGGGACCACCAGCTGCCTCCTGATCCCACAGGACTCTACTTCCCTTGTGGGAGCCCATTCTCGGTATAGGAACCCCTTCTCCCACAGGAACCTCTCCTGGCAGCCTCTCCTCATGGTCCGTACCACCCTGAGGTCGGCCAGGTCCCTGAGCTTCCGCAAGGAGGGATCTTTCCTCAACTCGGCCTGGAACTCAGCAGCTGGGGAAGGGATGGGGACCGGTTCCCCTCAGTGGCCAGGTCTGAGGCCTCAGCCTCTCTGAGCCGTGCCCCTCGGCCCTCCCTTCCCACCAGGGTAGGGTCCTGCGCCTCCGGTGCGGTACCCTCCCGAGGTCAGGGAGCAGTGGCCCTCGCCGGCTCTGGCTACGGGTCACAACCAGGGCGGTCTGGGGCTTGCTTGGCCAGTCCTCTAGGTCTCCCCCCATCAAAACTTCAGTGGGCAAATGGTGGTGTACCCCCACATCCTTGTGGCCCTCCTTGGCCCCCCCATTTCAGGTGTACCCTTGCCACGGGCACCTTAAATGGGGTCCCACCCACCCCTGTCAGGGTCAGGTAGGTGTTGGGCACCACCCGATCTGGGGCCACCACCTCGGGCCGGGCCAGCGTCACCTCCGCACCCGTATCCCAGTATCCATTGACCTTCCTCCCATCCACCTCCAGGGGAACAAGGCACTCTCTCCGGAGGGACAGCCCCGCGCCCACCCTGTAAACTGAGCGCCCTGAGTCCAGAGCCTCCAGCCCTCTGGTGGAGCTGGCCTGGGGTACTCTTCCCTCCGGGGCAGGTGGTAAACTGGCAGCCCCCTTGCCTGAGTCGTCTGCCCCTCGTCCAGCTGGGTCCCTACCCAGTTAACCCTGGGTAGGTTGGGTCTGCTCAGTTTGTCCCTGAGCCCAGGGCACTGGGACCGTACGTGGCCTCTCTGGCCACAGTGATAGCAGCTCAGGTCACGTTGGTCCCCTCGAGCGGGTCGGAGGGGCCCGACGCCAGGCGTTCCCCTTGGGAGGGGGTTCTCCCTATTTCCCCGCTGGGAGGCCCCCTGGTGACTCTCTCTTGCATCGGGGGGGGCCTGTTCTTTTGGGACTCCTCCCGGCTACCCCCTGACCGACTGTTCACAAACTCGTCGGCCAGCTGCCCTGCGTGCTGGGGGTTCTCGAGCTTTTTGTCCACCAACCACAGCCTCAGGTCGGAAGGGCACTGTTCATACAGCTGCTCCAGTACGATTAGGTCAAGCAGGTCCTCTTTAGCTTGGGCCCCAGCTGTCCACTTGCGGGCATACCCCTGCATCCGGTTGACCAGTTGTAGGTAGGTGACCTCAGGCGTTTTACGCTGACTCCGGAACCTTCTCCGGTACATCTCGGGGGTCAGCCCAAACTCACGGAGCAGGGCCTGTTTGAACAGTTCATAGTCCCCTGCCTCCGGCCCTGTCATCCGGCTGTACACCTCCACGGCTTTGGGGTCCAGTAAGGGGGTGAGAAACTGGAGCCTGTCTGCAGGGTCAACCCTGTGCAGCTCGCAGGCATTCTCAAAGGCCGTCAGGAAGCTATCTATGTCCTCCCCCCTCCTTACGCTGGGCCAGGAAGCACTTATCAAAGTTCCTTGCAGTCTTGGGTCCCCCCACACTCACCGCAGCCGGGGCCCCACTGCTCCTCAGCCTGGCCAGCTCCAGTTCATGCTGTCTTTGTTTCTCCTTCTCCTGACGTTCCCTCTCCTTCTCCTGACGCTCCCTCTCCTTCTCCTCCTGCTCATGTTGACGTTGTTTCTCCTCATGTTGACGTTGTTTTTCATGATCCTCCAGCTCCCTCATTTTCATCTCCCTCTCCCACTCCAGCCGCCTCCGCTCCAGGGATGGGGAGCTCCGCCGGGAGGATCCCCTGCTGGGTGCTGGGGTCAGGGTGCCCTCGGTATTCGCTGGGCTTCCCCCAACCCCTCCCCCAGACATAGGTAGGAAGGGTCTCGGGATGTCCTCGGCAGCAGTCTGACCCCTCCCAGCCCGGTCAGGCCCCAGGGCCCACGCTGCGTCTGCCGGGCGGCTTCCCTCAGGGACAGGGATCGGGTCATCCAAGCGATCCCTCTCCTCCAACTGGGCAATCAGTTGTTCCTTGGTGGACCTCCCGATGCGCAGCCCCCTCTGCCTGCACAGCTCCACCAGGTCACTCTTAAGGCGTTTAGCGTACATCTCCCTGCTGGCCACTCGCAGGCCGGGCAGCTTCCCACGGTTTCCAGGAAAAGCCCCTAGTGTGCCAGTCCTTCTTGAGGTCACCACCTCTTTGCCAGGGTCGAGCTGCAGACTCCTCCGCCCCTGGGACCGCTCGCTGCAGTCCCCCGGGGGACCCTGTTACTGCAAAAGTCCTTCTCTCTGGTCACACATTCCCAGGGGTTAGCCGCCCCCCGAAACCGTCTCTCTCTGAATCTTCAGCACGCCTGGTCCCCGTCAATCCCCCTTCGTTTTACTGTTCCCCAGTCACTTACTGCAGGAAGCGCCGTTCACGGGGTGCAGTAGATCCCACCGCTGCCACCAGTTGTCACGGAGTGTGGGGGAGTCCAGGCCCTGCACCCCTCTTCCTGGGATCCACTGAGACTCTCAGCCAGCCAGTAAAACAGAAGGTTTATTGGACAACAGGAACACAGTCCACAACAGAGCTTGTGGGTACAACCAGGACCCCTCAATCACGTCCTTCTGGGGGAGCAGGGAGCTTAGACCCCAGCCCTGGGGTTCCCTGTGTTCCTCCCCCCAGCCTCCAAACTGCCAACTAAACTCACCCCGCAGGTTCCCTGCTGCAGCCTCTGTTCACATTCCTGGGCAGAGGTGTCACCCCCCCCCCCCCCTCCTGGCTCAGGTGACAGGCTCTCAGGACTCCCATCCCCAGGGCACATTCCCAGGTCAACACTCCCCCTCCCTGCTGAGTCACATACCTTCCACAGCTTCTGCCAGCTGAGGCTCTCGAGTGATTATTGTGACTATTTTACAGAAAAGGACACTGAGAGGCAACCAGGTTAACTAACTTGCCTATGCAGCAAGCCAGTGACAGCGAAGAATCAGATCCAGGTCTCCCGATTCTCAGCTCCCTGCTGTGACCACCAGGCCATGCTACCCATCATGCCCATAGCTCCCCATTCATACCTCTGTGGTCTGGTCAATGAATTCATCACCCATATACCACGCTCCATAAAAGACACTTCTTTCAGCTCTAGCACTAAGGGCCAGATTTTCAAAGTTATTGAGGTGCTTAAACGGGATTTTCAAAGGTGCTTAAGCAGTTTCGATGCCTAGGCCCAGGTCTGCAAAGGTATTTAGGTGCCTAACTTCCATTGACTTGAATGGGAATGCAATGCCTCCCTTCCTTAGATGTTTTGTTAATCCCACCGGTGCTGATCAGCATCTTTAGGTACCTAAACCCGTTTGAAAATCTGGCCCCAATTCCCCAACGGGAGCAGCTGTGGGGGGCACCTCCTTTGTTGCTTGGCAAAAGGGAAGAATTTACCCAATTTCTTCTTTCAAGGGAAAAAGAGAATTACGATATTGGGAGGAGGGGACTGGGTATCAAGACTCCTGGGTCTTTTTCAGCTCTGCCACTGACTTGTGGGGTAAGATTTTGGTCAAGTTTCTCCATTTCCAGTCTGTAAGAGGAATAATAATAATTCACAGTAATAACAGTAATACTTCCCTATATGACACAGGGATCTAGTGTTGTAGCATTTCCCTACTTCTCAGCTGTGTTGCAAGGATGGATGAGTTAACGTCTGCCTGGTGTCTCTGCAGTGCTGTACAGGTGCTAACCGTCATTATTTAGAGCACTTCCTTCATGTGTTGTGGGATTCCTGAACGCTTGTACAGTTCGGATGTAAGGTGTGAAGCACCATGATCAGCGACATTACCGACACCCATATTTCCTCCAGCCAAATGTCTGACTCCTCAGCTGCCCAGGAGACTTACTGTAAGCAGCGGCTCTGTCCGGCTGTGAGCTCTGTGTAGGATTGGAGTGCCTGGTGGAATCCCTCTAAGCCGCTCTCTGTCACCGACAGCTGCCTCTGAGCCACCAGGATGTGCTGCAGGGAGAGAGGGCACAGTTAGGACTCCAGGCCAGACCTGCAGGCCCTTGCTAGAGGCAAAGGTGCCGACACATTGGGAGGGTCAGTACTCTTGCTCCAGGAGCTCGCTGGGGCTGCCCTTTGTACTACAGACTCGCTGTCCCCTCTGCTTTCCCCTGCCCATCACACTGCATGGTGGCTCATTAGGCCAGGGCCTCTCGAGTCGTGTAATGAACACGTGGCGGGTGCTGAGAGGCGCCGTCTCCTCTGTTAACTGAGCAGTGATGAACTGCTGCCAAGGTTGCAAGTGCAGAACTGCAACAGGCCACCCTGGGAGCGAGGAGCTGTAACGCATACCCTGCCTGATCCGCAGGGAGCGGGGCGACTACTGCCTCTCCCGGTCTCCGCAAGGCTAGGGGCGTGGTGAATTAGTGCACGCTGCAGCCACCTGGTCACATCCCCTCCAGTCAGCTCCACTGGCCCCCTGTGCCCTCTCCCTGGGGCAAGAGAGGACATAGCTGCTATACCTGGGGGGCCATAGGGACTTTCCACCACAGGGTCCCTTCCATCCGGGTTTAAACTGGCTTGCTCCTGCATGGATTTGGCCCAGTGTCTCATGGGACTCACATGCAGAACATTCCCTTTGAGCCCACGGGCTTCCTTTGGACTCATTCAGGTGTGGCCCTTTCTTCACATGCAGCCCCGTGGATTGAAACACGCTCTCCTCAGAGGAACCATTTAGCAGATGGAACTTATGCCCTAGTCTGCCCACCATTCTGGTTCCCTTGCCTATCGATCTGGGGTGCGAGACCATGGAACAATGACTCCAGCTTCAGAGCGAAGCCGGGGACTCTCTCTGGTGAGTTCAACCGGGAATGTGCGCGTCTGTCTGCGCTCAGGCAGGCGTGCACATCCGTGCGTCAATGCAGGGATGGGAGGCCTGTACCCGTCTGCACCTGCACGTGAGTGGATGTGTGTGTGAGACAGAGAGAGAGAATCTCTTTGTGTCTCGGTGCTAGCAATCAATGGAAAGCAGCAGGCCTAGAACTTACAGCATTTCTCCCTTTGCAAGCAACTTCTTCTTTTAGAGGCTCCAGCCTTGGGCTCTGCATTTGTAGAAAAGCAAAATCATTGCTAATATGAGAATCTAATTACAGGGGAAAACAAGGGTGGGGTCAGGGCCGGCCTTAGTTCTGGGTGGGTGGCCCAGGGCAGCAGGCCAAAGAGGGCGCCATGAGCAGGGTTTGCCTGAGTCTCACCTGACCTGCCGAGAGCCGGCTGGGCTGACGGAGGAGGCAGGCAGGCAGGCAGGCGAGCAGCAGCGTCTGGAGAGGGTGGAGGGATCCACACTGCAGCGGGGCAGTTGGACAACCAGCCAGGTGACTCCTCCGGAGCAGGGGTGCCCCTCCATGGGGGCTTCAAGAGAGTCCCCACTAGACATTAACCCACTGGCCAAACCAACTTGGGACTTGACAGAGCAGTGATCTGCTCCGGAGAGGCTGGGGACTTGAAGACCAAGGGTGGTGGCACCTCAGCAGAGCTCTGCAGGGAAGGTCCAGTGGGGAGTAGGAGGGGGACTGGTGGGTCAGGACTGAGCTGTCCCAGACCTGAAAGAACAAGGGGTGCTCAGGTCAGGAGTGGGTCCATTAGCAAAGCTGAGAGGGGGCCCAGAACCAGAACAGCAGGAGTGCTGCAGGTCAGGACTGAGGTGAGTCAGAGGTGATGCTGCACTGGCTGAGATGCAGAGGTCCATGCCCACACTCGCAGGGGGGCTGCGGGGTGGGGTTGAGCTGTATTACCATACGCGGAACAAGTCTCCCCTCTACCCACGCACCTTGCATTCCAGTTTGTCAATGAGCTGCTGTAGCCTGTTAATCTGAGCTGCCCACTGGCTGTCAGCTTCGACACAAACCCCTAGATGGAAAATGGACAGGGAGATGCCATTGTTAGCCAGGTTCACACAGGGATGGCTCAGTTCACCCACACCCTGGCTGTCTGCCCCAGCTCTTTATACAGACTAGGTCCTCTGGCAGTAGGCACAACAGATGAAGAAAGTGGTGAATCTTTATTGCTGCCTTTTAGCATTTACGGGACAGATTTATTTGGCATTGATTGGCTCTGGAAGGCAGACGATATTTTACTCTCTTTCTGCCTAAATAATACACCCTTCCTTGAGACTGCAGGCAATGTCAGCAATGTCTGAATTTCACTGCTAGCGGGATGGGAGCCCTCTGGATTTCTTGTGATTTATGCGACTAGGATGAGCCGATCCTGGTCCCACTGATGTTAATGCCAAAGTACCAGCTGGGATTCAGCTAGGCGTTCAGAGGTGCAGGTGCTGATCTGAACTATTGCCACGGACTGCTGGATCGATGGGGACGGGAGGGGAGCAGGGAGGCTGTGGGGTGGTCTGGATTGCGGGGGCGGGCAGGGCTTAGAATCACATGGATAAACTCCTGAACATTTGGATCTAAACCGGACCCAATCTCTGATCCTTACTCCAAAGGAAACTGAGACGCTCCAACTAAGTACAGATAGGATGGTCCCCAGAACATTAGCACTGGTGTCCTTCCTGGCAGTGGGACTGCGTACAGAACAATAACCTGATCTGACTTCCTGCAGAACGTTGGTTCAGATATTTCCCCATCCACCAACCTAGGCCAAATCACAGAAAGACACACGAGGCTCCCTTGAACTCGGGCATTATAAATCACATCCATGAGGGAAAGCGGACTCAGAGCTGGTGTTCACACCCTCCCACGTCTCATTGTAACCCACACCGCCACCCTCCAAAGGCAGCAAGGTCCCAAGAGACAGGCGGCACAATGGTAATGGCTTCTCCCTCATCCACCTGGCCCTGCCAATACCTGTAGTAAGCATCCCGGAATAGGGATCCGTTGGAGACAAGCAGACGGTCTTCTGAGCTCTGCGCCCACATCTCCTGCCAGATCTCAGGCCAATGAAGACTTCAGATTTCTTCAAGTCTTTCCTAAAAACAAAAACGGATGTACTCAGCGCAGACCGCCGGCTACACCCTCCCCTGTGTCTGCCATCCCCGGCTTCCCCGTGGGAGTGGGTTGTGCAGGCACCGCACACAGGTGGGGAAACCAGAGAGACAATCATGTTTTCACTAACTGAGATCTATTGGAGGCCTGACCCTGACTGTTAGATGACACCAGAAGGAAGAAACCAAGACCTTGTGGCCGAGCAGAAAGAGCTCAGGTTCTGCCCATTGGCACGTATGCTGCCCAAACTCTCAGACCTGGCCGACTGGCACAGTCGCACCCACTCCTGGGCCTGCACACGAATGCTCAAACGACAACAGAAAACCAGCTACTGTTGTCCAGCTCAGTCATCCAGGAGCATCTCAGACCTGATCCGGAGCAGTGCTGACTGCGCACTCAAGCCCCACTCTCATCTTACTAGGTGCTTCTTCAAACAAACTCCCATTCAAGTCAGCCAGTGGCTGGACTGGAGCAGGCAGACTGAGCAGTACCCCTAGCAGGGACTGGCTGGCCCAGAGCGGGCGGGCTGGGCAGAGCCTGTGCTGGGGACCAGTTGAGCTGAAGCAGTTGGGGCAGGCAGTGCCTGGGTTTTTTTTCCAGTGGTCTGCACAACTCTCAGGGTACAGCTACACTGCACGCTCCTTACAGCAGCCTGGAGAGGGCAGACACTGCCCGCCCCCTTAATCCAGGTATAAATAGCAGTGTAGATGGTGGGACACTGCTTAGGTGAGCAGAGTACAGACATGCCAGAACCTTTGGCTATGTACTTTACATGGCTCTCTGCATGCCCAAGCAGTGCCTCTCCCGTCTACACTGGTATCTTAGCAACGCAGCATCCTGCTGCCTCCCCTCGCCAGAGCCCTTTCCAGACACAGTGAAAGGCTCCAGCCGCAGGGAAAAGCTCCCGCAGTGGGGAAAGGCTCTGGAAGAGGGCAGGAGGCAGTGGGGAAAGGCTCTGGAAGAGGGCAGGAGGCAGTGGGGAAAGGCTCTGGCAGCTCCCTGGGCTGGGCAAAGGCTCCGGCAGTGGGGAAAGGCTCTGGCAGCTCCCTGGGGTGGGGAAAGGCTCCGGTAGCAGGGAGAAGGCAATGGGGAAAGCAGCTGCCTGCTGCTGGAAGCTTTTCCCCACGGCCTCCCCCGGCCAGAGCCTTGCCCGGCCACGTGCAGCTGCGCAGCGCAGTGTGGACTCAGCCTGCCCTTCACTGCAGTGCGTAGTTACACATACACTACACGCCACCATCAGTGACGTGCAGTGTAGACATAGCCTCAGAGCAAGACACAAAGGAGCGTGTCAGAAGAACAGGGATCCAATCCGGAGAGCGCAGTAACAGTGTGTCCGGGAGTGCCTCCAGCCTCTGGCCCTCGCTGGAGCGGTGTTTCCTCAGCTCTCTAGCAAAGGGCCTGTTTGCTGGTAACTAGGGGGGCAAAGTGGGTGGTGGGGCTCAGGAACGAAGCCAAAGAGGAGCGTCATGTGGCAACGAGAGTTCCCCTAACTTTGCCAGCACCAACAGCTCGGAGGGCGGGTCAGCTGCGTTAATATGCAGTCACTGGGGGGGGGGTGTTTCGTAGCATTAACACCCTGCTGCAATGTGGGCTCTCTTGGGAGGCCATTAGCCAAAGCCACATTGGGAACCAAGCACAAACGGGTAGGTCCCAAATGCACAGCTCACCATGGGCCACGCTCCCTGCCTCCCATCTGGGCCGATACCAGCTGCCCCACGCCAGCTGCCCCGGCATTACCTCTCCCAGCCGGCCTGCTCTTCGATTGTGTCCGAGGCGCACTCCAGCGAGGCCTGCAGGGTCTGCAGCTGGGTCCTGGTCTCCCGCAGCAGGAAGCGGGTCACAAACTGCTCCATCTTGGAGGAACGCTCGTACTCCTGTGGGGAAGGAGAGAGAGGGAACGTTGCACCTGATGCCAGATCAGGTACTCCAGGAGACCTCTCTGCTGGGCTGCAGCCTCCTCTCCTGTAATGTCCCAGGCTCATCTCGCTCCCACCCAGCACCTCACTGGGCCTTGGCAGATGCAGCTGCTGAAGAGCCCGTCCCAGATTTTATATGCAACCCAGAGCCATACGGGGAGATCAGTTCGTTCTACACAATAATGGTGCTGCCGCTGTGGCACCTTACCTCCAAAGAGCTCCAGGCACTGGAATAGCATTCAGAGCCCCTCCCAAGCCCCCAGGCAGGGAGGCTAATGCACTCCCACTTATCAGGTGGGGAAACTGAGGCACGAGCGGAGCGTGTTCATGCTTGGAGCAGGTGAATAAATATATAGAAATGTTGCAGACTTTAATACTGGGTTGGCTTTGCATTTCTGTAAAGACCTTAGAGCCTTGAGATAAGTGCTGGGAACATCAATAAATGCCTTGTCCAAGGACACTGAGAAAGTCAGTGGCAGAGCCTGGGACAAGAATTTAGGAATCTCAGCTTCCAATCCTCTGCCCTAACCACTCACTTGTACAGCTTCTTGTGCCCAGCAGAGCTGGATATAGGCAAGACAGTTGGTAGCTCTTCAGCTCCCTATTGAGCCGTAGTGTATTAAATGCTAGAAATGATCGCGGGATGTGTGGTGGGGGTGGGCAATTTAAAACAGAAATCAGATTAAAGGGAAACCACAGCTGGCCTCCACTTGTCAGGCACAGTCAGCTCCAAACTGCAAGGAAGCTAATGGCATTTTCACAGGTCAAACCTCTTCAGGAGTTCTCATTTCCAGGCTCTCAGAAGCGCTGGATATTGAATGCACTGTTTTGGAAAAGAGAATCATTTGGCAACAATCGGCAGTTCTCTAGTGCAGTGCAAAACTCAGTTACTAGCTGCAGAAGGTATCCCTGGGACAAAAAGCACAGCACAGTGAGCATCAATGGGCCTCCCCACTGGCAGCTTCACAGAGGCCAAGGAGTTGGACTGAATGGGCCAGGCAGACCAAACACGCTCCTCTAGCCCAGAGGCAGGTGGGGCAGCACAGCAGAACGTGCCCCGTTGCTATCCTGGTGTGCTTGTTTTGTGACCAACAAAAAGACAGTTCTCAACCAGGGGTACTCAGAGCTCTTCCAGAGGGTACATCAGCTCATCTAGATATTCGCCTAGTTTTATAACAGGCTACATAAAAAGCACTAGCAAAGTCAGTACAAACGAAAATTCATAGACAATGATTTGTTTAAACTGCTCTGTACACTGTGCATTGAAATGTAAGTACAATATTTGTATTCCAATTGATTGATTTTATAATGATATGGTAAAAATGAGAAAGTCCGCCATGTTTCAGTACGAGTGTGCTGTGACACTTTTGTATTTTTATGTCTGATTTTGTAAGGTTCTAAGTGAGGTGAAACTTGGGGGTACACAAGACAATTCAGACTCTTGAAAGGGGTACAGAAGTCTGGAAAGGTTGAGAACCACTGGACTAGAGTCCCCAGGGCAGCCCATCCAGTGCCTCTCCCCATCGCCGAATGCACACTCACTGCCCCCAAAGAGAATTATTTGAAATTGTCATTGCATAGGCAGGGACTGGACCAGCAGCTTCTTTCCTCTCAGGTTAAACTCAGTACACAAATGCAACTAGCAAGTAGGTCAAATTTATCCTTGGTTTAACTCCATTGACTTCCAAGGAGAGGCAGCAGGAAAGAATATGGCCCTCTGTGTGCTGGACCACTCAGAATATGAGAACCATTGAGCTCAGCCAGCAGCTGGGAGCCCGGATGTCTCTCTGCCTTCAAAGATACATAGCACTTCTGGCTTGAACTAACCCAGGCTGGACTCTCTGTGAACCAAATTCAGACATTCATCAGCCCCATTGGTGACTTGGTGAGAGATCTCTGATCCAGGACAAGGCTTGCCTCATCAGAGCTAAAGTTTCCAGTTGCAGTTCAAAGTGACACAAGCATAAGTTTGAGAATAGGCTTTTTCTACAAAATCCATATAAAAATATCCCACCATTATCATGTTATCAGTGATGGATACTGTCTGTGGAAGGAGGTGAGAGATCTCCAATATCCAGAAGTCTGGGCATCCTGATGGTCAATGTAAGAGAGAATTCAAGGGATATTTTTTAAACACAGATAAAATCATTTTTACTCCTGAAGCTGGAAACAAAATGTGTCCAATGTTAACAGTGAAAATCAGAAACTGATAAATATCCAATAACTATAACACAACAGAAATTCTCCTGATCAGTGCCCTGATTCAGTGGTCCAGCCCTATTCAGCAGAACACCCCAGCACACGCTTAACTTTAGGCATTTGCTTAAATCCTGTCAAGTCCAAAGGAAGTTGCTCATATTCTTAAGTCCTTTGCTGAACTGTGGCCAAAGACCGAGCATTGCAGAGCAGAAGGGATCATGTTCCTTTGCTAGCCTGTTGTTTTGCAGATTATAAGCAGAGGTGAGCTACAAAGTATACGGGGCATGCAGCTAACACTCCTTGTTGTGGAGAATAAAGCTGACTGGAAAGTCATGGGCATTTTAATAATATTACATGCTTTTCTAGCACGTTTCCCAGGAATCTCAAAGTATTACACCTCACAACAGCCCGTCTCATGGGCAAATATTTACTATGCCCACTTAACAGTGTCATAGTATCACAGTCTATCTTAAACAAGAGACAATTATTAACCAAAACTTCTACAACTACAGTCACAGACCAATAGGCTTTCACCCAGCTTGAGTTCCAGCTTTCTTTCTCTTGTTTACCACAGACCACATCCTGTCTGGAATACTGTACAGCACACAGAGACATCCAGCAGCTGAACTATATGCTGCAGATAAACATACCATTATAAGCAGATGGAGGATCTGAGATACAGACAGTGACTTGCTGAAGGTCATACAGCAAATCAGTGGCAAGGCTGGGAAGAAATCCCAGGGATCCTGATGCCCAATCACCAACTCTAGCTGCTAGACACCACTTCTCTGATAGACACTGAGCTAAGGTCACCACCTCCTGCAGGACGCTGATATGACTGGGATGAGCTTACATCACCACAGAAAGGTGAAATAAACATAAAACTTTCCCATTAAAGAACCCAGAGAACTGGGTGCAGTGAAGGGGAATATGACTGGAGCACTGAGAAAAATGGAGATAACCAGTCGAATTTAGAAAATGCTCCCTCAGGAAAATCACGTGGCAGTACAAAGGGGAAGAACTGGTACTGCCTTCCTGAGGAGGCAAGAGAATTTCTGGAGGTGGTGCAAGGGGACAGAACTAGAAGTAAAAGGAAGCATTTAAGCCAAAGAACATTTAGGCTAAATATCAGGGACATTTGCAACTAGACTGGACTATGTGCTATTAAATATACTGGAGGCAACAATCCTGAGTCAGCCAAGCAGATGATTTAGGTGTGTCATAGCAAGTCTTCTCTGTCTTCTGGTTGCATGGCTAAAACTGGTCCAGGTTACTCCAAGGTTCTTTTTCATCCTTAGATCCATTTAAAAGAACAGTGTCTAGATGTCTCTCTCCTTTTCAGGTACTTTTTCCTTCTCGGGTTTTTTAGCCACCATTGTTTTCCTTAAAAAGCAGATGATGACTCTGGAAATGCCACAGAAAATGTTATTCGGAAATAGAAGTTTAAAGGCTGGCCTGCCCTTCTGCATCCACCATTTGGGAGTATCCGGTGCCCCAGGGGCAGTTTTGCATCCTCAAGATGTGTGGATTGAGCTGCTGTCATGCAGGGGTCTAACTAACTACCTGGCACATGGCCACAACTGAGGTAGACAGCTACATAACATCAGATTGGTGGGGCTTTGGCATGAACGCAGCATTTCCCACCTGAAGCTATAAGCCTTTTTGCACCATCACATTGTTTTCTCAGCTGAGAGATCAAAACCAAAGATCAGGGCTCAAGTAGGAAGTGACAGGTTACCTTTTACCTGCAGCCAGAGCAGCTGGTGCTGTGATCCTAACAACTAAGTAGCACTTGGACATGGCCTATACTTGGATGGGAGACCTGCAAGGGACATTGGTACTGCAAGTAGTGATGCTGGTAGTTCACTAGGAGTGCTCTGCCTTCTCAGTCCATTATGAGAGTGGCAGCAGCGGGCTCCTAGGGATGCAAAAGGTTTTCCAATCACTGGTAGTTACTAAAGATCCCATGTCAATTTTTGCAAGAGCAGGGATGTTAAACCAGCATCTTGGTCACTTTGTCGTCCTAAAATTCATCCATGTGCTTCACTGGATCTGGGACTTGTCTCTACTTTCTATCCCAAAGTGCTGGGCAGTGTGGCACTTTGTGTTTTGCTGTGTTACAATCAGAGGTGGTGGCTGCATTACACATAGGTGATCCCTGGGTATATGACCCACCTCTAAAATAAAAGGCCAGATCCACTTCACTTATGCCCACTAAACAATACTTTAGTCTGCCGTCTGAACTGTCTTTAATGGGACCACTCAGCAAAATTACACAATATGAGTGACTAGTACTGGGTCAGCTCATTATCAGGCAGGGATGAGGGAAGGAACGAGCTGCATGTGGCCCAAACTGATTTGAGGGTCTCCTTAGCATCATTCAGATCCACCCAGTGTAATCTGCTCCCAGCGCTCCACGCCTTGAGGAGTTCACACAAAGACATACACAGAGCCTGGCCTCTTTCTCTCACTGCCAGGGAAGGGTATCCGGGGATAAGCAGCAGGACAATGGGACCCAATGGGCCAGGCAGCCTCAGAGACACCTCATCCATTGTAAAGTCACATCTATGCCTATGGTTGACATCACAGAAGCTCCTTGACTTCTGACACAACTGGCTCAGTAGGGGCAGTACCAGCTGGCTCGGAAGGAATCACAAGATGGGCAATTACAACTCTAGAAAGAAGGTGAAAAAAGCAAAGCAAGAGAAGAAGGAGAAGTGCCCAGATCTGGAGAAGGAAAAGGAGAAAGGGCGACTGGT